CCTCGTCCTCGTCCTCCTCCTCCTCCTCCTCCTCCTCCTCCTCGAGCAGACTCTCGTGGCCTGAGCGTGGCTCCTTCGCCCCCTCGGCCTCGCCGGCCGCCCTTCTCCGCCGCCCGCCCCGCCGCCCGCCAGGGGCGCGTCCTCGCCCCACCCGGGGACCGCCGCCTCCCCTTCGCCGCTTGACCTGGCGGATCTGGCCGTGAGGGAGATGATCACCAATTTGATCAAGCATGGTGAGCAGCCCCACGACAAGGACGGTGAGCAATCTGTTTTCCGTGCGTGGAAGGTGCAGCCATCCCAGGTGACGTTCGCCCTGCGCGTCCAGGGGCGCCGGGTCTCGGCGCCCAGGTCTTCGGCGGAGGGGGCGACGAAGGGATCGAGGGCCGCAGGGAAGTTGGCTCCTGCACGGGCCCCGGGCGGCGCCCGAGAGTGCCGCCGCGGGCCCCAAGGGCTGACGGCGAGGTGCGCGCCTCTTGGCTCCCCGCGGGCTTCTCTCCCCGTGAGGAGCGCCCGACCGCGTCGGCAACCCCCTCGGCCCCGGCCGCGCACTCTTTTGGTTGCCCCGAGCGCCCCAGCCCAGGCATCCTCGAGCCGTGAGAATTCGCGGCTGGAGTTTTCGTGGCACTCGGCCCCGATCGGGGCCCTCGCTTGGCTCCGGGCGCTGTAAGACAACTGCCTTCGGGAGCCTCGAGACGGGGGTCAGTGCAAACGGGGTCGGCCAGAGCGCCTGGTCTTGCAGGATCCTGCAGGGCCAGGGTCGCATTGAACCGGGTTTGGGTGCAGGACTTTGCAGGGTCCTGCGGGATCCTTCGCATTGACCCGGGCTTGGGCGCAGGATCTTGCAGGACTCTGCAAGGCCTGGTTGACCCGGGTTTGGATTGACCCGGGTCAGAAGATCCCCGATACTTGGGGTCAGGGTTGGGATTTTTGGGAAACCCGCATTGACAGGAACGCGGCATCGGATGTCTGGGAGACGGTGCGGCGCGGAAGCGTCTGTCAAGGAGGACGACCACGAGGGACCCTTCGCTGGAGTGACCCTTGGCTCGTGGAACAAACAGGACAGACACACAGCAACGACCAACATAATATGCGTCCACCCTAGCCCCAGGGGCCGAGGGGGGAAAGACAGATGGGCAACAGCCCTGTCAAGCCCCGCATCACTTCCACCTCCCCCTCTGAAAGAACAACAAAGGCGCAGATCACGCCTTCCTCGTAATTTGTTCAGGCGCCGCGCCTTCGACACTCAGGGATCGCGCTCTCACTTGGGAATCGTGCTATCGCTCGAGATCCCCTCGCGATTTATGGGGTATCCACGCTTCAGCAACCCGCCTGCTCGACCTGTCTGCTTGGGCCCGCCTTCCCGACCCGCCCGTCAGAGTCTACCCGCCCGATCAGCCCGTCTGGCTATGCCGCGCGGTTTCTGCTCCTAGCCCCACTCCTGCTAATCACGTGCTCCGTCCTTCTAACTCCCCCTTCCATCCGTCCTCTCTTCCCCTGTTACAGGGGCTGCACCAATTGCGTGCAGCAGGTCAGAAGGATATACGCCAGGAGGGTACGATCGAAAACGGAGATGGCGGTCACCGAGGATTTGGGACATACATTTTGAATGGCACGCGAGCAGGTAAGAGCGTACAGTCTTAACATGATTGTTGTTGTTTGTTGACATTTCGCTTCTAAGGAATAATCCTTGTTGGTTCCCCAAGACCATTGCTTTTGCTCCATGTAAGTGCTCTTTCAAGGGCTCGCACCCTGTTCCTTATGAGGGAAAAGTTGGTGGTCACCAAACTTCGCCCCTGGCCTCGGTTTGCAACAACAGCGGGTCCCGTTTGATAGTTTCTAGCACTGTGTTTACATGTCGCGCTCTCGCGCGGAACTTCCTCGCAATGTATCCAGGAATCGCGCTCTCGCGTGGCATTTCCTCACGATGTATTGTGACGCCGTGCCCCCTAGACTCACAATCACGCTCTCGCTTTGCATTGCCTGACAATGTGCTCGGGAATCGCGCTATCGTTCGATACTTCCTTCATGATGGGTCGACGCTTTAGCGACCCGCCCGCTCGACCTGGCCGTCTTGGCCCGCCCGCCCGATATGCCCGTTAGGGTCTGCCCGCCCGACACGCCAGATCGGTTCTGCCGCTTGTGTTGGTGCTCCGATCCCTCCTCCAACAAGTTGCTTTCTTGCTCCATTCTTCTCCCTTCCCCTGGTGTCTGCATTCCTCTCCTCTCCCTCTTTTAGAGGCTGCGCCAACTACACGCGGCAGGCAGGGAAGATACATCCCCAGGAGGGGGTACTATCGGAGACGAAGAGGGCGGGTACCGAGGGCTTCGGATATACGTGTTGAACGGCATACTAGCAGATAAGAGCGAGCAGTCTTGAAATGATGATAGCTGTTGTCGCCGTCCCATTCGCGACCTGGCCCGCGACCCACCCGCGGCCCGCACGCGATCCACCCCCGACCTTCCGCGACCCACCCGCGATCCGCCCGCGCCCCACCCGCGGCCCACCCGCCACACACCCGCGACCCACCACGACCCGCCCGCGGCCCACCCGCGACCCACCCCGCGCCCGCCCCCTAACTCAACGATCACAACGATAAGGACGACCACAACGATTACAACAATAACAGCGATCAGCACTCCCTCCCCGATGTCTGTCCTGTGCGCGCTGTTATGCGCATGTTTCGTGCCAGCCATGCGGCACGGGTCTTGTCCGCAACTGCGGGGTGCTGCACGTATATCAATCTATGTCTACACGTGCGCCTCCTTGCTATCGCCGTCGCGTCGTCGCTGTCGCCGTCGTGGGCGCCGTCCTCCACCTCGACACCCGAAGTCGGACGACAGCGCTGCCGCCGCGCAGCCGCCGCACGCCGCTGCCGCGGCAGGCCGCCGCGAAAGGCCGTCGCAGCTGACGCCGCGGCAGGCCGCCGCGAAAGGCCGCCGCCGCCGCGGCAGGCTGGAGGCCGCGGCGGCGGCGTCGCGCAGGCCGCCGCTGCACAGTGTGGGCCGCCGCCGCCTCCGCGCGTACAGGCCGCAAGCGGGGCCGGCGGCCCTCGCCGCCGCGGCCGCGGCCGGCGCAGCGGCGGGGCGGCCGCGGCCGAACGTTTCGGGTCGCGGCGGCGGCGCGCGGCCGCTGGCCGCCGCGGCGGTGTCCGCGGGCGCAGGGTTGTCGCAGGATGCGGCGCCGCGGTCGGCCAGCTGGCCGATCGACGTCGTCGTCGCCGTCGTCGCCGTCGACGTCGCCGTCGACGTCGTGGTCGCGGTGGTCTTGGTCGTGGTCGTCGTCGTCGTCGTCGTCGTCGTCGTCCCCGCTTCATTGTTCCTGTCGCGGTGGACGTAGTGGTCGTGGTCGGCCGATCAATCAGAGACGCCGTGGTCGTGGTCGTCGTCGTGGTCGTGGTCGTCATCGTCGTCGCGGGCGTCGTCGTCGTCGTCGGTAGATCGGCCGCCGGCGTCTCGACTTGTCATCATCCGATGGGCGGCTTTGCTTCTTAGTATAGATACATAGATAGTATATATGATCCCGGGCTCCGGGCCCACGGGCCCCCCCCCCCAGATGGTATGGTCCCAGGATTCCTCGGCCCCCCCCCCCCCAGATGGTATGGTCCCAGAGACGACGACGACGACGACGACGACGACGACGACGGCGACGACGACGACGACGACGACGACGACGACGACGGCGGCGGCGACGACGCCGGCGGCGGCGGCGACGATGACGACGATGACGACGATGACGACGGCGACGACGACGACGACGACAAGGACGACGACGACGACGACGACGACCACCTCTGAACCACCGCAGCACCACACCACATCCGCAGGGGGGGGGGAGGGGGGCACCGCAGCGCAGCACCACGCCACGCCCACAAGGGGGGGCGGGGGGGGCCATCGCGCGGGGGGGGGGGGCCAATGGCATCAGCATTGGGGGGCAGGGGGGGGGGCCCAAGCCGTGGACCATATATACATATACTTATGTGTGTATACACTTACATACCACATATATGCTACATGCATGCATTTATGTATATGCATATCTATATATATATATATATATATATATATATGTGTATTCCCTAAACAGTGCTTGCATTGAGGGGCTTCTGCTTCTCGCCTTCGAGACCTGGGCCCCCGTGTCGGCCCGCCCGGCTCGTGGCCGCCCGCCGCCGCCCGGTGCCGCCGTCCCCTCGCCGCCACGTGCGCGGGCACCCGCGCGCCAGGAGGGGCAGCCACGCGCAGAGGGTTTTTGTTTTGGGGGGGGGCTTCTTCAAAGCCATGGGTCAAGCAGCGGCGAAGCGTCTCGGGTCGCCTATAGCCCTACCAAACAATGCTCTAAGAACCTGTTGTGGTTTCCACGAAATGTTCTTAGAACATTTCTGGCGGAGTCTGTTTTTTTTTCACATCGGGTTCATGCTCTAAGAACATTGCTTTTGTTCTTAGAACATTTTTGTGTTCTCAGAACATTTCCTGGTATGACTATAGGAATGCCGGGACGGTCGGTCCCTGCTCAAATGGGATGTCCCCACGGGATTCGTAATGTGACCCCCCACGAGATTCCCCCACGGGATGCCCCCACAAGATTTTCCCCATCGGACTCGCACAGCGTCTTCCCGCACAAGTCTACCACGCCACACAGGATATTCCCCGTGCTCGCCGTGGGCTTCCCCGTGGGATTTCCTGCGAGGGTTCCCTCCATAGGACGTCCCCCTCCCTCCCCCGCTGCGAGCCCGGGGGGGGGAAGGTGCTCCCCCCCCCCAGCCTCCCCCAGCCACGCGCAGCGGGGGGGTGGGGGAAGGGGGGAGGGCTTCTTCGAAGCACTCCTGCTTCTTAGAAGGCGCGGGCCTTGTCTGTAGATGTGACGCCCGCGCCCTCTGAGGAGCAGCCTCCTGAACAGCCCTTCCCCCTCCCCCCTCCCCCCTTGTGCGCACCGCCACGAGGGGCAGGGCTCGTTGCGATTCCTCCGATTCGGTTCGATTCGACTTCGATGGACTCCGATTTCGATTCGATTCGACTTGGGATCCCGGCTCGGATACCGATTTCTCAACGGAGCCCTGCTTGCCGATTTCCGCCGGTGCGACTCGTCCCGACCTGGCTGCCGATTTTCGCCAATCCGATTCATTTCGATCGCCGATCCGCTGTATCGATTCGATTCTGGGCTCGCCTGGAGGGGGGGCAGGGGAGGAGGGGGCACTGCTTCTCAGATGCACCCTGCTTCTCAGAAGGCGCGGGCCTTGTCTGTAGATGTGGGGCTCGCGCCATCAAAAGGAGCAGCCCCCCAAGAAGCTCCCCCCCTCCCTCTTTCGACTACACGCAAGAGTGGCCCTTCGCCGGAGTGACCTTTGGTGCGGGCTCACCAGGGTCCCCCCGATTGCTGAGCGTGATGCGATAGTGGTTTCCTGCGCGCTTGGATTTGGCCACTTTGCACCCGCTGCACCTAAAGGCCACTCTTGTCTGGGGTCACTCTTGCGTGTAGCCGACCCCCTGCTCCCCTCGGCGCGCCGCTACATGCGGGCCAGGATGGACACCAGGTGTGGTCGGGGGATCGTCCTTGCGCCTCTCCGGGCCGAGTGGGATAGCTGCCCGCTGTCTCTCGGGCGATCGCAAACATGGATCAAGGGGACGTGGATTAGCGACGGGTCCCGTTTCCATGGGGAATCGGGGATTGCTGCCGCCGAGCGAGGCGGCACCGGCCGCATTTTGGAGAGGGCATTTCCCCCGATCCATGGATTTGGCGACCGATCCTAATCCATGCTTGCGCGCATCCGAGTCTCAGCCGGCCCCTCTCTGGGAGTTAATGGCGCCGACGATGACGGCCGACGGCGGCGACGCCGACGACGCCGGCGACGGCGAGCGCGACCGCGGCGACGCAGCAACAGCTACGATATTCAGGAGGGAAAAAGCACATGGACACAATTAATCGTCGATCCCCAGGAGAGTATGGGAACATATGGGAAGTGGGGGGAAGACGAAAACCTAGAGAATATGTGAAAATCTGGGGAATCCTGTTATTTGTGTATATTTATTTGTGTGTCCCAGGGCCCCTTCATATTCGTCAGGATGCAACTCCTGGGAGGCTAGAATCGAGGAATCGGCGCTGCGGTACGGTCGAGCTTATTTTTGGTTAGCGTTCAGAGGAGGAACAGGTACCCATACCTCTACCCTTTCCTCGTTTCCCCTTTTTGGGCCTCCTCGGAGGTCCTCGTCGCCACCGTGGGATGCGCCTCGAAATCTCAGTCAGACTGCACCCCGGGAGAGCTCTGGGGAGTGGCGGTATCGGTACATGTGGGTCTCCCCAAGCGTGTCGCGGTGCCAGTTCTGACCCACCACGCTTCGCCGCAACACGCCAGCCATGCCCCAGCCCCCAGGTGTCCACGCCCCGAGCTTTCTCCAGCCGCTCACCCCTCGGAGCGGAGCGACCCGCAATCAATCCGCCTGCAGGGATATAGCGTTTCGCTGGGGCCGCCGCCGCGACATGTTGAGCAGACATTCCTGACCGTGTCCATGGTCGGCAACCGAACTACGTAATCCGGCATCGCCCCGCAGTCTAATTCCGCTGACGTTGGCGTGCTCCTGGGCTCAATGGCCCCTTCATCGTGCCTGAATGCCCCCACTCGTGCCCACGAAGGCCTCCCAGCAGTTGCCCCCCTGAAGCTGCGCAGGAGGCGCCGTTGGGCGTCGTGGGCGCCCTCGCGAGCAGGGAGTGGACGTCGATGGTCACGAAGGCGGCCGTGGGGGCGGGGTGGCAGCGAGGCGAACCTCGTGGCGGGCTGCCTAGGTTCTGAGGCGGTTTTTCCCTATCATGGGGGTGTCCTCCCCTCTTCCTCCTCCTCCTCCTCCTTCTCCTACTCCTCCTTCTCCTCCTCCTCCTCCTCCTCCTCCTCCTCATCTTCCTCCTCCTCCTCCTGCTCCTCCTCCTCCTCCTCCTCCTCCTCCTCCTCCTCCTCCTCCTATCCCCGAGCCGCACCACACCAGCGACGCTACGGAGTTCGACACGCCGAACATTGCCCAAGTCGTCGCCGCGTCCTTCGACATGGTGCGCGAATCCTACTAAGGAGCCCCGCCGCGGCCGTGGCGAGGATGGATCCGCCCCCTCAGTCCACAGCAGCTCCTCCTCCCGTCCTCCTCAGCTCCTCTCCTCCTCCTCTCCTCCTCCTCCTCCTCCGCTCCTCCTCCTCCTCCCTCTCCTCCTCCCCTCCTCCTCTCCTCTCTCCTCCTCCTCCTCCTCCTCCTGCCTCCTCTCCTCCTCTCTCCTCCTCCTCATTTCTCTCCCCTCTCTTCCTCCTCCTCCTCCTCCTCCTCCTCCTCCTCCCTCCTCCTCCTTCCTCCTCCCCCTCCTCCTCCCCCTCCTCCTCCTCCTCCTCCTCCTCCTCCTCCTCCTCTCCTCCTCCTCCTCCTCCTCCTCCTCCTCCGTAGCTATTTTGGCTCAAACCATTTTGGCTCAAGCGTTCGACGGCCCTCCTCAGCGCCTCTTCTCGGAGGCGACGGCATGGCGGGGCCTGGAGGGACTTCGGCGCTGGCCGCGCCCTCGTGGGCTGCTTCCTTGGTGGAGGCGGTTGTGCGCGGCGCCGTGCCGGCCCAGGCGCCGAGGCGGCCTGCTGGTGCTGCCCACGGCGCACATGCTGCTGCTGATCCCGCCGACACCTCCGAGGCGAACGCGGCGCGGCGGCGGCGATGCGGCCGGCGCCCCGCGGCGCGGCGGCGCGAAGGGGCTGGCGCTGCTCCAGCGGACGACGGAGGTGTGCCTGCGGCTGCGGCCGCGGGTCTGCCGCTGGTCGCGCTGGCTGCTGCTGGACCCGAGACCGTGGAGGCGGACCTCGAGGACGACTCCGGGGCCGACGTGCAGCCTTCGCGCGCGGCGCGGAGGCGGCTACGGCGCACCGACACCATGGCTGGTGAGGTGGATGCGGAGGCCGCGGCTCCTGCTCGGGGAGCGGGAGGCGCTGCTGGGCGCACTGGCGCTGGCGTGGCGGGCGAAGCGGCCGCGATGCCTGCTCAGGGAGCGGGAGGCGCTGCTGCTGGAGGTCTCGCCGCCCAGGGCCTCTCCGCCAAGGTGTAAAGCTGCAGGCGCTGCTCGACACTCTCCCCAGTCTTCGCGGTGCTGCGTGCCCGTGATCGTGGGCGGGGACGTCGCGGTCGGCCCCGTTCTGCGGGGGCCCTGCGACGCGCGCAGGGCCCCCGTTCTGGGAAACCGTGCACTGCTTCGAGTACACGGTCGGGGGGTCTGGCTCGTCAGGTGGAGACCAGGCCCCCCGCGGCGGGAGAGTCGGCACCGACTCCTCCTGAGGCTCGCTGCTCCTCCTCCTCCTCCTCCTCCTCCTCCTCCTCCTCCTCCTCCTCCTCCGATCTTCGTGGGCCGCGGCAGGCGGCAGATCGCTCGAGAACGGCTGCCCCGCGTCCGCGCGCCCTCCCCGTCCGCGAACTTGACCGCCTCCTTCTGCCGCCGGTGGAGGGGCCCAGGTGACAGAGATCTCCGACGACAGTCACATATCAAAGAGAATCGTAAAACAATAGTTTCAAACATATCGGGCGGGAGGGGTATTCAAACATAGTTAAACATAGCATGGAGACGTTTTTTGTTTGACAAGTACAAGTTCTACATGTTTGGACATTTCTGTATCATCCAATGCCCGACTTGAAGATATAATTTGTCAGTCACGTATGTTCCTTTCGTGTCGCCCCTCCTGGGCCGCGTGCGGTCCCCGGAGGAATCAGATATGAATCTGGGCCGAAGGGCTGCCCCTGGAGAAGCGGTCGGGACCTCGTAAGCTGCCCCTCCCTCCCCTTTTCATGATGGACCGGGGGGGGAAGGGCTCGAACCGGAAGTGACCCCCCCCCCCCTGGTTTTCGAGGGGGGAAGGGGGGACGGGTTAGAAACCCCCAGTGACCCCCCCCCCTTCCCCCGGTTTTTGCCAGCAGCGGCAGAGCGAGCTCTTCCATGCATAAATAGAGATCGATACATCGATACATCGAGCGAGAGAGAGAGAGAGAGAGTGAGAAATCCTAGCCACCCTGGCGAAGAACCAAGCCCTTTGGCTGGCGACAGGACCGCTCAACGCGCACGATCTCGCGAGGG